AGCGCACTTACTTCAGTTTTGATCTGATGTATAATATTTTTATCAATACGAAGGTATATCGAGTTCCGCGGCTACAGTACTTCAAAGAATGTCGAATTTTTGATATGTCACAAGCAATTTTTGAGAAATTTTAACTTTGAGTCGAAGTGTTTTAATTTCAAATATGAACAAATTATTTTATTTAATTCCCTAGAAAAGGAAATACTAGTGGATATACGTCAGTTTCATTGAGGTAAAATGTTTGGGATTTAACCATATGCTGAAACCTGTAAATAAAATGTAAAATAATTTTATATATAATATAATCAATTATTAACAAACAGCATTAATTTACATTTATAGTTCTTTTGTCATCCGAATACGTATCTCAATATAACCTCTATATATTTGCCCACAAGCTTTAGAATCATCATATAAGTATAAATGGAAATGTGTCAATTTTAACCCATTAATTTTGTATAATATTAAATAAACTTTTGCATTTGTGATCGTATATAAATAGACTAAAGGAATGTAAAAAAATTGGTACTACACAGAAAAAATTATCGGTAGTTTATTTTCAATTAACATGTTTTCCTCTTTCTTTAACTTTTATTTAAACAATTTTTTAATTGTCATAATTATCTCATTGTTTTGATCCTAAGTATACAAATTTGATTAAACTTTTAATTGAATCAATTAATTTTTTAATTGGCTGAAAAAGTTTTTCCAGCCTACTTTTTTATTTTGGATTTTTGTTGTGATATAGCATCATTTTGTTGATAGGTGCAAAACTTGCTTGATACAATCAATTTGATAATTAAAACTCATTTTCAGTTTTTTCTGTGTACTTAAAAATTTGTAAGAAGTAAAAATTATTTTATTTTTAACGATATGCGATCTAGTAATTGGTTTCCAGCAACAATATTATGATACATATAAATTGTATCATAATATCGAATTAGTAATTGGTTAAAAAAGAGATCGTTTGGCTTACCACTCACAACAAAAGAGTGTGGGATCATCAAACAACAAAAAGGATATTGGAAATTACGCTTGATGATACATATGTAGAATGTGTTCAATTAGCTTCACCAACTCACCATGACTACGAAATCAATTAAGGCAATTGTACAACGGTCAGCAGCAAAATGTTAAAATGTCTCTATGCAAATTGTATTGTAATGTTGTCTGGAAAGGAAACGGAAGTGCAGTGAATTTTTTTGCAAACATTAAGTTTCTCTTTTTTCCAATTTTTGTCCACACTTCAACGATTCTTTTAGCTGCAAAAGATTTTTTTTTCCTTTATTATACTGTTGTCAGTGTGCAAATTATACATAGTTTACAAACAAATGTTGATAAAAAGGTTTAAAAAAGTTCCTCTTTAGGCCAATATTAAATGCTGACAATATTCAATGTCTAGGAAAATCGATTATTGTAATAAAATATTGATGGGAATATCATAAAAAAATCTTAGGGAGATTTCTATGCAAATTTAATAAAAATTTTTTATCTTCTGATATAAAATTATAAATGAAAAATAAATTCCAGCTAATTCTAAGACGATCTAGCCTAGTCTATAGTCTAGTCTATAGTCTAGTCTATCGTCTAGTCTATAGTCTAGTCTATAGTCTAGTCTATAGTCTAGTCTATAGTCTAGTCTATAGTCTAGTCTATAGTCTATAGTCTAGTATAGTCTAGTCTATAGTCTAGTCTATAGTCTAGTCTATAGTCTAGTATAGTCTAGTCTATAGTCTAGTCTATAGTCTAGTCTATAGTCTAGTCTATAGTCTAGTCTATAGTCTAGTCTATAGTCTAGTCTATAGTCTAGTCTATAGTCTAGTATAATCTAGTCTATAGTCTAGTCTATAGTCTAGTCTATAGTCTAGTCTATAGTCTAGTCTATAGTCTAGTCTATAGTCTAGTCTATAGTCTAGTCTATAGTCTAGTCTATAGTCTAGTCTATAGTCTAGTCTATAGTCTAGTCTATAGTCTAGTCTATAGTCTAGTCTATAGTCTAGTCTATAGTCTAGTCTATAGTCTAGTCTATAGTCTAGTCTATAGTCTAGTCTATAGTCTAGTCTATAGTCTAGTCTATAGTCTAGTCTATAGTCTAGTCTATAGTCTAGTCTATAGTCTAGTCTATAGTCTAGTCTATAGTCTAGTCTATAGTCTAGTCTATAGTCTAGTCTATAGTCTAGTCTATAGTCTAGTCTATAGTCTAGTCTATAGTCTAGTCTTAGCCTAGTCTATAGTCTAGTCTATAGTCTAGTCTATAGTCTAGTCTATAGTCTAGTCTATAGTCTAGTCTATAGTCTAGTCTATAGTCTAGTCTATAGTCTAGTCTATAGTCTAGTCTATAGTCTAGTCTAGTCTATAGTCTAGTCTATAGTCTAGTCTATAGTCTAGTCTATAGTCTAGTCTATAGTCTAGTCTAGTCTAGTCTAGTCTATAGTCTAGTCTATAGTCTAGTCTATAGTCTAGTCTATAGTCTAGTCTATAGTCTAGTCTATAGTCTAGTCTATAGTCTAGTCTATAGTCTAGTCTATAGTCTAGTCTATAGTCTAGTATATAGTCTAGTCTATAGTCTAGTCTATAGTCTAGTCTATAGTCTAGTCTATAGTCTAGTCTATAGTCTAGTCTATAGTCTAGTCTATAGTCTAGTATATAGTCTAGTCTATAGTCTAGTCTATAGTCTAGTCTATAGTCTAGTCTATAGTCTAGTCTATAGTCTAGTCTATAGTCTAGTCTATAGTCTAGTCTATAGTCTAGTATATAGTCTAGTCTATAGTCTAGTCTATAGTCTAGTCTATAGTCTGTCTATAGTCTAGTCTATAGTCTTGTCTATAGTCTAGTCTATAGTCTAGTCTATAGTCTAGTCTATAGTCTAGTATATAGTCTAGTCTATAGTCTAGTCTATAGTCTAGTCTATAGTCTAGTCTATAGTCTAGTCTATAGTCTAGTCTATAGTCTAGTCTATAGTCTAGTCTATAGTCTAGTCTATAGTCTAGTCTATAGTCTAGTCTATAGTCTAGTCTATAGTCTAGTCTATAGTCTAGTCTATAGTCTAGTCTATAGTCTAGTCTATAGTCTAGTCTATAGTCTAGTCTATAGTCTAGTCTATAGTCTAGTCCTATAGTCTAGTCTAATAGTCTAGTCTATAGTCTAGTCTATAGTCTAGTCTATAGTCTAGTCTATAGTCTAGTCTATAGTCTAGTCTATAGTCTAGTCTATAGTCTAGTCTATAGTCTAGTCTATAGTCTAGTCTATAGTCTAGTCTATAGTCTAGTCTATAGTCCCTAGTCTATAGTCTAGTCTATAGTCTAGTCTATAGTCTAGTCTATAGTCTAGTCTATAGTCTGTAGTCTAGTAGTTGAAAAGTTTCCAAGATTTCCATAAATATTTTCAACACTTGTGTTTTGTTTTGTATGGCAAATGGTCAAAATCGGTCCATGTTTGATCCCTGGCCACATATAAGGTCAACTTCAGAAAGTTACTTTAACGGTTTCCAACTGGCATTAAAATACATGTAAATATTTATTAATTAAAATCTCTTGCCAAATTTCAGATGGGTCAGTCCATAATTGATCCTACGCCCATATAACGCCAATTAAAGAAAATTACTTTATTGTCACTAATTGACCTTAATCGCCTTGACGTCTCTATTATTGTCGATAAATTAAAGTGTTTTGAATACTGGATTTTGGCATCTATCAAAAATCTAATCAAATAATTTTTATTAACTTTAAATTGCTTGCTAATTTAACAATTTTCCTATTAAATTTCCAAAACCGTAAAATCAATGACTTTACCTCAATTTATACACCATTTGCTTCCATATTAAAACATAAAATGTTTTAAGATTCTAATAACAATTTTTTTAATATTTTGCAGATTACTTTGTAACCAACACAAAAGGTGAGTTTATTGGTTTCTAAAAAAAACCTGTGCAGATAAGTTAATATACTGGAAACGAAAAAACAAAGATAAAACTTTTCATAAAATGACTTTTTAAAAATTCTAATAGCAAAAGTTTTTAGAAAAAAATTCTACAAAATATTTCGCAATATGTTGACATATAAAGTGCTTATTACAAAAATATTATATGCTGAAATCTTAAATACAAGTATGTTGGAGCAATAACAGTGGCAACAACAAAAGGTCCTAAATATAATTTAACATTACATACAATAAACTTTAAATGACATACAGTAACAAAAATACGAGTAAGATAATATACAAAAATGTTTCTAGCCATAAAAGCAACAGACGCAAACTTATATAGAAGTTCGTAGAATAAAAAATCAAAAAATTTATATATAAATAGACCCTCAATCAGTTAAGACACATTCAAGTTTAAACTCTTGTTATCGACGCAGATGGTAAGATACTTAAGAAAAAAAAGTAAAGTAACTGAGTCTATAAAAAATATAGTACCAAAAAAAATCATATATACTACATACTTACCCCTCCCAATACTTCCTACACATGCTGACATTTTCAACTTAATACGAGTGCTATGTAGTACATTTAAAAAGGAAAGACTGCATAAAGTCTTTATAGCCGAAGAAACAATATACATATGTAGACTTTCGTACAAACCTAGGAAAAGAAACTTTAAATCGATTTAGAAAGTAAAGTACCAATAGTCTTGTATATGTATGGGTTATGTATAGATACACATATGTATCTACTTGTTGTTGGATATCTGTTGACTTTTTTTCAAATTAACTTCATCAGCAACAAAGAAAAGTTTTTTTTTTCTTCTTCTTCGTTTCTTGTTTCATCTTCATGGTGAAAGTTGCAAGTTTCTTTGAAAAGTATGCTTCTTTTCCGAAGGGAAGTGAATTCATGTAGGAAAATTTTTTAAATACTCAAACTTATCGAAAAACTGTAGTAAAAAATAAATAGAATATGACAAAGTTATTTGTTTGATACAAACGATAACATTGTTATTGATAATTGCTAACGCCACAGCTGCATTTAATATTAGGGATAATCACAAGATTGAGTATCAAATTGAGGTTTAGTTTTCCGATAATTCAAAATTTCGAAGGAAACATTTCCCACGACTCCTGCAATAATCAATCTTTGAAAATTGTTATCTTATTAAAATAGATTGTGTGCTCTAGCTGGCGATATGAAAAAGACTGATGCATCGGGCTATGCCGAATCCTTTACATTCGACATCCCAACGTAAAGCATATAATCAAAGTAATTTTCGGACAGCTCACTACTTACTTATTTGTTTCAAGTACGCTAAACTGTAAGAGGGGTTACATCGGGAGTAAGTAGTAGCATCAATTACACACCAAACCTCTTGTATTTTAGGAAATATTATCGGTATTATGTCTAGGGAATGTAAGAAAACACATTTACATTTTTGGATCTTCGAACATTATTATGGTGTATTACAAATGGAATAACTAACGTTAGTTAGTTAGTTAGTTAGTTAGTTAGTTAGTTAGTTAGTTAGTTAGTTAGTTAGTTAGTTAGTTAGTTAGTTAGTTAGTTAGTTAGTTAGTTAGTAGTTAGTTAGTTAGTTAGTTAGTTAGTTAATTTAAGTTAGTTAGTTAGTTAGTTAGTTAGTTAGTTAGTTAGTTAGTTAGTTAGTTAGTTAGTTAGTTAGTTTAGTTAGTTAGTTAGTTAGTTAGTTAGTTAGTTAGTTAGTTAGTTAGTTAGTTAGTTAGTTAGTTAGTTAGTTAGTTAGTTAGTTAGTTAGTTAGTTAGTAGTTAGTTAGTTAGTTAGTTAGTTAGTTAGTTAGTTAGTTAGTTAGTTAGTAGTTAGTAGTTAGTTAGTTAGTTAGTTAGTTAGTTAGTTAGTTAGTTAGTAGTTAGTAGTTAGTTAGTAGTTAGTTAGTTAGTTAGTTAGTTAGTTAGTTAGTTAGTTAGTTAGTTAGTTAGTTAGTTAGTTAGTTAGTTAGTTAGTTAGTTAGTTAGTTAGTTAGTTAGTTAGTTAGTAGTTAGTTAGTTAGTTAGTTAGTTAGTTAGTTAGTTAGTTAGTTAGTTAGTTAGTTAGTTAGTTAGTTAGTTAGTTAGTTAGTTAGTTAGTTAGTTAGTTAGTTAGTTAGTTAGTTAGTTAGTTAGTTAGTTAGTTATTAGTTAGTTAGTTAGTTAGTTAGTAGTTAGTTAGTTAGTTAGTTAGTAGTTAGTTAGTAGTTAGTTAGTTAGTTAGTAGTAGTTAGTTAGTTAGTAGTTAGTTAGTTAGTTAGTTAGTTAGTTAGTTAGTTAGTTAGTTAGTTAGTTAGTTAGTTAGTTAGTTAGTTTAGTTAGTTAGTTAGTTAGTTAGTTAGTTAGTTAGTTAGTTAGTTAGTTAGTTAGTTAGTTAGTTAGTTAGTTAGTTAGTTAGTTAGTTAGTTAGTTAGTTAGTTAGTTAGTTAGTTAGTTAGTTAGTAGTTAGTTAGTTAGTTAGTTAGTGTAGTTAGTTAGTTAGTTAGTTAGTTAGTTAGTTAGTTAGTTAGTTAGTTAGTTAGTTAGTTAGTTAGTTAGTTAGTTAGTTAGTTAGTTAGTTAGTTAGTTAGTTAGTTAGTTAGTTAGTTAGTAGTTAGTTAGTTAGTTAGTTAGTTAGTTAGTTAGTTAGTTAGTTTAGTTAGTTAGTTAGTTAGTAGTTAGTTAGTTAGTTAGTTAGTTAGTTAGTTAGTTAGTTAGTTTAGTTAGTTAGTAGTTAGTTAGTTAGTTAGTTAGTTAGTTAGTTTAGTTAGTTAGTTAGTTAGTTAGTTAGTTAGTTAGTTAGTTAGTTAGTAGTTAGTTAGTTAGTTAGGTTAGTTAGTAGTTAGTAGTTAGTTAGTTAGTTAGTTAGTTAGTTTAGTTAGTTAGTAGTTAGTTAGTTAGTTAGTTAGTTAGTTAGTTAGTTAGTTAGTTAGTTAGTTAGTTAGTTAGTTAGTAGTTAGTTAGTTAGTTAGTAGTTAGTTAGTTAGTTAGTTAGTTAGTTAGTAGTAGTTAGTAGTTAGTTAGTTAGTTAGTAGTTAGTTAGTTAGTTAGTTAGTTAGTTAGTTAGTTAGTTAGTTAGTTAGTTAGTTAGTTAACATTGGCGTACCATTGAGATTAGTCTTATGTAATGCATGGAAGATTACCTGGTCTCCAACTACGTCATCACAATATGAAATAAAACATATCTTTTTCATACATTTGGATGGGTGTTCTTCGCTTGTTAGAAGTAGTTTTGGGAAATCTTGGGAAGTTATTCCCAAGTTTTCTTGAAAATTTTTTTCCAAATAAATGTAAAATCCCTATTTTAGGAATCACCCTACTCCAAAACTAATATAATATAGATAAAGTTTCTATTCCATTTATATGAAAGCTTTACGAACTTAGTTATGTACATACGAGTATATATTAATGCTTAGACACGTGTCAATGCAATTATGATGAAAGAAACTGAAATTATTCTGTAAAACCCAAAAAAAGAACAAAACAGGAAACCATATTGGAAAATCAAAGTCAATCGATGGAAATGAACTTTATGATTGAACATTTACTCTTATTTATGGCTTGCCAGCCATACAAGGTGTCAAAAATTGGTTGCTATTTTTAATACATGTGTATTCATCCTTTCAATCCATCTACTTTACAGACAAGAGTATGAATAATAAAATTGCCAAAAAAAAACTTTAATGCTGCAACTGCATGTTTAAGCTGTCTGAACTCTAAAGATGTTTTGTGCCACATGGGGTCGTTGATAAATTTGTCATTATCCGGTAACTGTAAATTTATGTCAATGGCAAATTTCGATTTCTTGGCTTTTTTCAACAAAGTGATCAGTATTTCGAATTGTCGACTTTTATGTATGGTCAAATGGATGATGATATGGTATGTATGTTGGTATTCATGTGTAGACTCCTATTTGTATGTAGCAGACCACTTAGTGTTCTATATTGGTCATAAGATAAATATTTTATGCTTCACTTGCATTCATTGACATCAGTGGTAGTTATAGTTTAATATATTCAGTCATGCCTTTGTGTGCAAAATAGCTTTAAACTTTTTTAAAAATTTTTAAATTTTCATTTAAATGTCTACTTTAGAGTAAGAGTGGTTGTTTAGGAGAAGTATATAATCATAAATATTTACATTTTATGTGTGTGTTTGCAAACTCACATTAAATTTATTTAGGCCATTGGGAATTAGTTAAAAGTTGACTGTTATTTATAAGAAAAACATTCCTCAAGTTAAATTTGTTTGTGCGTTATTTAGTTTATAACCAAAAAGTTAATATTGATATTGTATTGGCTATACAAATATTTTATTATACATATTGTAAAATATTTTATTAATTTAATAAAACTCTTTCCATAGATATTGGGAATATCCTCAGACCATATCATGCCATGAATACACAGACCAATCATCTCTCTACTATTCAAAATATCACTTATTAAAGACATTTTTAAAAACATATAATTGTTAACTTTACTATACACTAATTCCCTTAAGTCTAAGTAAATTAAGTGAAGTTTCATTGTTATAAACGCCCAATTAAGTATTTATATAAAAATTAAAAATCAGTTGACATTCAATCCTTAGAAAACCATCATCAGATATAATGTACTCTTGCCAAGTATTTTTCAAAAGAAATAAAAAAAAAACTTACTATTAAAACCCTTAACCATAATTTCTTTTCCCATTAGAGGCTGCTACTTTATTAAGCCCAGACGTATTTAACTCATTTACTGGGTAGCAAATTGCAATTCCTTCTAATCACTTAAACAACTTAAATATTCTTGAAATCTATTAAACAGTCAAATACATTTAAACTCATTTCAAAGGTCAAAGCATGTAACAAAAAATATGTTGTTGCTTCTGTAAGCAATTGGCCAAAAGTCGCAGTACCCACCAGCAAGCAATACCACTACCTACCGCAACAGTACTAAACAAAGGGTGAAGTTTAGAAACTTTTTGGTTTTCTGTTGTGTATACAT